CAAGTGTTGCTGTGCCAGCTGCTGGAGCGAGTGCCTACCCGCTCACGAGAGTCACGGACGAGCAGGGAGGAAGAAGGCAACCATAACTGAGTTGGCTTTCGCATTGCTGGATGGGGCACATGGTGGTCCTTGGGTGTGTGTGGGGGATCGAGGTCGTGAGTGAAGCGTGAGATATACTTGGTGCTTGAGGCGAATGACATCGACCAAGATTAGCTCGTACTTCGGGAAGTTGTTGACGTCACCAGCGGCATTGTAGATAGGATAGATAGGATTTGGTATTCGTAGTCTGGGCACTGAGCGCCATATAGGGATTCGACATTGGTTCATTGTTGATGATGATGAGACTATTCAAACATTATCACTTGTTGGCTTTTGCTGTGCTCTTATTTGGTGGAACTCATGTTGCAATTCTGTTTTTGGTTCGAGGTGAAAACTATTTGGTTTCTTGTGTATGATGCTGCTTGGTTTCTGAAATTCGCTATCGCTCATTTTCCTTGCATTTTGGTATCGGAGTTGTGGTACGCTGCGCTAATCTGGCGCTTGTCTTTTGCTTATGCGGTGCATGCACGCGGTTAGCTGGGTGAGCGGCCGTGGGTAGTGTGCAGTGAGGAGGGCGAAGGCAAGCGACCGAGGTGGAGAGGGGTATCGCCAGGAAGGCTGAGTGGTGATATTGGGTGTTTCGATGTGTGATGAGAACTATCTGATGTGCGATTGATGCTGAGGTGGAGCGACGGTGTAATGCTGGTTGTGCCAAGGCAATGATTGGTCATCACAATCGACGTCAAGTCATCTGGTGAGAAAATGTGTGGTTGGGGGCAGCTATTTTGAGGTACGTTGCTCTTAGCTTTAGCTACCCTCTTCGACACTTCTTACCGTAAGGATGTGTGTTCTGTCTTGAGAGTCCTCTCATGTCTAGAGTCGAGTGCGCTCAACCTTGAGAGTCGACATTGTTCACATTGAGCATCTAGAAGGAAAGGGCGTTGCCATCTGAAGGGCCCTAAACGAAGCACTGGGTCATGGTCACCATGCCGACCCACCGGGAGTAGAGCACACATGCTTTGCTGCTTTGTCCTTTGTCTGCCAGTTGGAGCTATAGATAGGTCATGAGGGGCAGGCCAGGCCTATAGGGGAGACGAGAACCGAACGTCTAAAAATAAATACTGGCGGGTTACCTTCCATTGATTGTGATCGTCATCCTGTTTGCGACGTTAAATGATTCATGATGACCTCGGGGGCCATCCTTAAATTGCCTCTTGATCAACCAATCGGTCGGTGTAAGGCTCACTGCACGCGAGGGTAAACATGGTGCAGGGCTGGCCAGCTCAGCATTGACTTGGGGCACGTAGTGGGCCGTTTGCACACCTCTAGACACATATGCTATCTGGATTGCTCAGGAACACTGACGTCAAGTGACATCAAGAAGAACTGAGGGAGGTGTAGATTTCAGGTAATAAGTTCAGGAACAATTTCACTCTGCAAACAACCATGCAAATGATCCTGTTTTCATTTTGATTAGTTACATGTACAACAATTAACACAACTGGCAGAAAACATAGGTAGAACTTTCTGTTTCTGCTCATTTGCTTTCTATTTGCGAACTACTCAAGTAAAATAGTTTCGTTTGTAGGAATCTGGACTTACCTGTTGAACCTAACTCTGTACCTACTAACAATGCCACCGCTTATTATTTTTTATTATTTTAAATCGGTCTGAGCACTACGCTGCGGTAGACAACCAAGTGTGTCCTAGTACAGACATTGCACAATGATGTAGCATATGAGCGACAGGGAGGGCCTTGATACGAACGATCGGATCTTGCGTTCGTCAAGCAGTAACCTCCCGTTGGTCCACGTAGCTTTAGGAGTCGAGGGAGACCGCCTCCTCTTTAGACAGGCTAGGGAAAGGCAGTAGCAACAGCGGAGGGCGAGGGACACAGAGGCAAGCAGAGCTTTCGCAAGCGAGGCAACTACCTCAACAACCAATATGGCCACCGTTGCGCAACAGAGTTCCCAGACCAGTAGTTCAGGGACTGTCAGGGCGACAGTCGTACAAACCCTGAGTCACTCCGTCGGCGTTATGGCGAGCCAACAAACAATGTTAACTCTCGAGGAGGTCGTCATCCAACGAGCAAGTGCTCGCGAGGCACAACTACAATAGGCATTAGACGAGATAAAGACAGAGAAAGAGAGAATGCTCAGACGTAGATCTACGATGCAGCAGAGACAAGCGAACATTAGAGAGTTAGAGGAAATGGACATAACCAACACGGATAACGATGTAAGGACCGTTAGAACAACCCTGGTAGATGCAGTGGAGATGCAGGACTACCATAGATCTCTCTTGCAAGACATTCATAGGAGCCTTGCTGTGCTGGCCCAGCAAGTTTAGGTCACAACATCACCATCTGGGCCAGGTGCTTCGACCTCCTCCTTTTGTCCCACCGGTAACTGGAGTAGTCCCATACACATTTTCTCCAGCTACGGTACATACCGCTTCCAATCTGGGTATGCCTTTGACAGGCGGGTTCTCGACAGGTCTTAGTGTACAAATTCCTGTTCACACAGTGTTTTCCCAGCCTTCGTTGAGGACTATCCTAACAAGGCAGCCTGCCGTCTTGCAGCCAGCACATCCGCAGGGCACACAACCGCAACAGGAGTTAGTGCAGTAGAATGCACCACAGGCCCCACAACCTGGAGTAGTGCAGGCACCGGGACGAGGATAGTGGGTTCCCAAGACTGCCATCGCGTCACCAAAACCCTTCCCAGGAGATGAGAAGGATGAAGACCTCGACACCTGGTTCAGGTCGGTGCCAATCTATGTGAAGTGCAAGTTAACCTTGCCTCACGAGGAAGTGTTTGTGGCTGTTTCCTATATGGAGGGGAGTGCAGCAAGGTGGTTAAGTGGGTACGTGCAGTTACAGGGGTACGGTCATGAGTTCCACGCTTGGGCAGTCACCCAGAAATTGGATGATTTCCTCAAGCTGGTGGAAGAAAGGTGGCATGACCCGCAGGGGGCTCAAAAGGCCACCGACGGGATATTGACCCCGAGCTCAAGAAAGTTCAGGTCAGTATGGGATGCCACGGATGCTGTTGAATGTCTGATTTGAATTCCCTGTGTGCGCTACGGCCCCGGGGTCTTACTTACCACTTACGTGAGGTATCTCTCCATAAAGCTCAGGAATCAGTTGGCAGGTGAGGCTATGATCACGGTGTCGCGCGTGGCGGTCCCACACCCAGACGCAAAGTAGTTTTGTGTCGGACCTCACGGTCGTGTCACGCAAGAGTCTCATTTTTGTCACTTTACTAAAACACCACTCCGACCGTGCGCGCGTGCTATACCTGTCGCGACTCCCTACGACAGGTTAGGGATCCCACGAGGTACAATATTACCTCCACCTGCTGGAGCTGTCACCATCCCCTAGGTGGGCGTATCCTTGCTGAGCTCCTGACCCACGTACGAAGGCTTTTACATGCCATCGCAGAGGTAGGCCAGCCGAGGGCGTTTTCTCGATCGCCGTAGCATAGGCATACGCGCGGTAGAAYGCCTTAAGACTGACCCGTATGTCGTGCCTCGAGGTGCTAACTTCCCCGGACCGACTATCTTATCAGGTCGACCTTTCCGGACAGTCTTCCATGCTTAGCTAACTATGACAATGACTTTATGTTCCCTCTGTGACCTTATGAAAAACCAGGGTCAAGCCCCTTTGTGATCTCTCATCGTTTCAAACAGAACCTAGACAGATGACTTTCTGAGCCCCGACCAGCTATGATTTCCTTCACAGATATATATATATATATATATATATATATATATATATATATATATATATATATATATATATATATA